GGTGCGTGTACTTATGTACGTACGCGTGTAAGAAGTTTTTGATTGCATGCAAATAATTAATTACAATTTAATAATCAAAGACTGGAAAAGGAGTCATTATAGTCAATAAAGTTCAGTTTACATTTGAAAAATTAAATCAATAAATATTTATTATTATTCTCTTACATTAAGTGTAACATAAATTCTATTATTATTCGAATGTTGTTTTTAAATTATGTCCAATGCCGTAGCATCTTTCGTGGGCAACTTCATTCTGTTAATTTTGTGTCACGGTGCGCGCGCATTGTAAAATTTCACTCTCATCAATTTTTCATAACGCGCCTAAAGAAGTTTAACTTCAATAAATGTGCCTGAGGAAATGTGAGACCCACATACCCCATACAGCTACGTAATTTAAGCATATTCTATATCTTATATAATTTAATTTCGACCTTTGAACCTTATAATATTTACACACCCTGTATCTATAAAATGTCAAGGGGCTAAAGCGATGTCCGAGAGGTTATTTACGAGCAACTGAAAGGGAAATATCAAGATGTCCTGCGGTTGCGATTATCGTGTTTGAATCGTTCCGCGCGATTTCTTTGATAGCGCACTGCGCACCTACTGTTCCATTCAAATTCATGGTTAAAAAAAGGAATAGAGTCACGATAAGGGGATTTCAAAGGGGTTTAACATTTCTTACTATTATTGCTTCTATACATAAGGTAATCATCTCTTTATATTCTTTGAATTTTTTAACTCCACTAAATAATTTATATTGCCTGAAAGAGAACACGCCTGTTGCAGTTTTGGGCGAGTTTCAGGGTATTTCCTTGTACCAAATTAAACTTTAATATTATGATACGAAATTTCAAGCAATAAAAACAATTAAGTGTTCCTTTTTTATGTTCGAGGTGGAAATACATGCTCATCCTTTGCCTCCGAAAATTACAGGGGTATGTGGGACTCGACCCACACCACAATCTCTGCTATTCAGAGACTGGGTGAGCAATACCGACTCGGCGTCAGAGAGGCTCCGGTGTCAATCTCGTATTCTTCTCGCAAAACCGCCACACATTACATAGGGCGTAGGAGTTGGCAAACTATTAAGTGTTTTTGAACATATTCTTGTAGGGCCTTTAATCATCATTACACATACAATGGCTGAACCTTTTGGACGTTAGACTTCGCGAGTATATTTCGCCATCGGACTCTACCTCGTGCTTCTTGAATCCAACAACGAACGCCTATTGTTTCAAGGTGTTTTACAACTTTTTTTTAATAGGTGGCGAACGGGCAGGAGGCTCACCTGATGTTAAGTGATACCGCCGCCCATGGACACTCATATTGAAGGCTCGCAAGTGTGTTGCCGGCCTTTCAAGAATTGGTACGCTATTTTCTTTAAGGACCCTTTGTCGAATCGGTTCGGAAATACTTCAGTGGGCAGCAGCCACATAGCGGTGGTGCGCGGCAAAAACTGCTTTAAAAAACTCTTAGTTGTAGAACTTCGTTCCACCAACGCAGCCTCGGTCTACCGGGTGATCAGTGTAATTAATTAATAGCTTATTTAAATATACTAATTTAATATTTAAATTCCCCTTTCTCAACAGGTATTCGTTCTTTGTAAACTCGTTTCCATAGATCTGAATTGTGCCTTTATTTAGCGGTGCGTGTGTAAGTAATAGCTTATCAAACCATTCATATTAATTAAAAAGTCCACTCACTATTGTAAGCATCTTAAATGACCAGCTCTTAATAAAACTTGATGGTAATGCTTTTTGATTGGATCACTATTATTCGGAAGCTCCTGGCTGATTTATGATTTAAACACAAAAGCAACTAGAACTTCCACGAAACATAACAAGTAGACAACCGCAAACAATTCATTTGTCATCTCCATGCCACGTATTTTAAGGCATTAGCATTTCTTAGGAGGCCGCCCATTGATAACACAACTAAATTTTAGCGTATCAAGAGAAATCTCTGTTCCTAGACGTAGCCAAAGGACGTAATAACCATATCAAATGCGTCCCTTTGCTGACTCGAATACATATAGTGGGATTCTTTATTCTCTTAAAATAAAGAAATACGCTTTGTTTCCGTCAGAGCGGGTCTTCCATACCTAATGTTTTACGAGCTTTGAATACGGACGAGGTGACAGACCGTAATGAGTGTATACGAAAATGACCCTTATTGTCCTTGATATAGTATCGTTATCTGGGTGAATTAGATTAGTTATCAATTGTTTGGATATCTCAAATTCACACTGAATTTGTTAAATATATAAGGATTGGTTAATAGATTTCGTTTGTTATAAATTTACACAATCACTCCAAAACGCCTATATCTTATCTGATGCTATTTATATTGTTTTAAACATATGGAATATTAAACGTACGAGGGCGTTGTTGCCTAATTTTTTAAATAAATTATTCATATAGTTCACTAAACTGAACTAATAAACATTTCTATTATATCACCCTTTTAGACTAAAAATACTTAAAGATACTATCATAATCATAAAAAAGTTCTATGAAAAGCTCATTATTTTTTTATATTCAAATGTCAGAACGTATACATACCTAAGCGTAGTTTGGGCCACTATCATCTAAAATGCAAACTATTCTAATTCTTATTTAAATGGAACTGAGAATATAATCGTGAAGATAAAGAATCACGTGAGCAGTTTTATGTATCTACGTGAGAGACATGAGAACAACAATATTACAACCCTACATCCAGGCCTTTGTTGAACACGATTGTTATTAAAGTAATCATGGCCCTCCAATCGGAACATTATGGAATAAACAAAAGAAAGCAAGAATTCAATGAAAAACCATTATGTCGCAGTGGAGAGCACTCGAAGCCCGTTGTCTCAATATTTTTCTTAGTGGATGAAGTTGACGCGTCATTCTCGTTCAAAAACGCCGAACGGTATTTTGAAGGGTCCCGATAATGGCCTATATTTACGACATTTAGATAATGTTATTTAAACGTTGGTGTTATTGAAATAATGTCGCGTGGACCGGATATCTGTATAAATTAAAGGCGGAATTTCAATTGTTTGAAAAAAGAACGTTTTATGAATAATAAATTATTCATTTGTATTAAAATTGGCTTTTTTAACACATTCGAATTTTAAATAATTGACGGACCTTATTAGTAACAATATTTTCTTCAAGAAAGTAAAAATTTGAGTATTTTGCTAATAATCTTCCTTCGTTTATTTATTTATAAGTAATACAATCATTACAAAAAAACACTTGGACATTATACAAAGCTAAAATAATAAAATTTACTTAACATAGATTAAAAAATAAAACTGAACTGAACAAACGACAATAAATACTTGCTATATAAAGTTAAAGTCTTCTACTTTACTTTATATAGCAAGTATTTTTTTATCTTTACTTTACCTAACCATCATACTGGGCCATTTCATTCCATTTTCTAATAATCAAAGAACCGATGCACACATTATTTCAATTAAACTCAATACTCTGTAAAAACCATAGATTATATAATATTTACATCAAACAAAACGTATACGATCAATCTTATTCAATTTAGTTTTTATTTGACGCGCGTCTTTGTCACAGATCACGGCTAGGGGCTTAAATATGAGCTCGGGACATTATCCGACTCAGTTAAATGCGGTGTCTTTGGTGGGACATAAGACGGATTAATCGTATCGATTGTATAAGTCCTTGTGGAATGCAAGCGATATTATGTATGTCTATAACTTGTCCTTGTTTTACTGTTTATGATGTTGGTTATATTTAAATGGTTTATAGACTAAATCGTTATCTGTATCCATGTTCGGTCTATGTACATTCAAATGTCTGCGGTCGGTTCTGGACTATACATTAGTTTAGGTCTCGAAATAGCCTGCATGTTAGACCTATGTCCCCATGTAAGACTGGGCATTCCCTTCTAGTTTAACTCGTGAATACCGCTAGCCATTGAAATATATAAGTATGGGTGACTTGGTATGGGTCTCTCTATGGGTCGTTCTATACATTTTTACTTCTATGTCTTTGACCGTTATGCATTTTATTAAGTCCTCTGTGTCTAAAACTCTATTTTTTGGGTCTAATAAGCACCGCTTTTTCACAATTTTCTTGACATTAATTAGGGTTAATTACGCGCATAGAAAGCATAATATTTTGGGGCATAGAACAATCTGAGCGTTAGGTAGGCAGTAGGCGCGTTTATTTCTATTGTTTATAATCCTATAATATTTTTTTTTAAGAATATAAACTCGAATTTATTACATTATTTACATAAAAAGCTACTATGTATTTTTGGAAAGAAAAGTTGTTTAGTAACATTGGTTTGGTATTTCGTATTTTCATAGATGTTTTGAGTTGAGAGATTATTGTGATCTATGAAAATACCATTCGTTTTGTGGCTTCAGGAATGTCGTAAAGTGATTTGAGATTTTATCACATGTTAGCGATTTGGGTATTTTGAAATATTTTTGGATAGTCGTAAAAAACTTTTTTAAAGCCATAAAGTTTTAAGAGATGTTTCCAAACAATGAACCTTTTTACATTTGTGCAATTAGCTTGCGAAAACGGTTATTGCAAGGTTGTTTAGAAAAGGATTGAAAGCTTCTTGGAGACTTTAGAAATGGTTTTGTTTTGTATAACACAAAAACAATAGTATTTTTAAAAAAAAAACAAAACGTAGGTGTTGCAAATAAAAAATCTTGAAACAATACGTTTGTTAACCCGTTATATACAAGTATATAGTTTTTGGTTGACAAGAGAAGCATTCTTTGGTAAATTTTATGGCTTTTACAGTTATATAAAACATTGATAGTAGCAAATGGATAATGTCATATACGATTAAATATAAAAAAAATATTTTATGACACAATAAAACATTTGACGATCGGCGATTCAGCCTGTTGTCATCCACTGCTGAACATAAGCCTCACTTCTAAATTTCCAGTACAAATAGTTTCCGACGTTCTTCATCCAACGCCTTTCCTCCACAACTTCTTCAGTGTCCACCTAGTGGGAGGCGGTCCAATTCTTTGTCTCGTTCTCCTCATAGTCCTCTGCCTCCATTCCAGGACGTTTTTGCGCCATCGGCCATTTATCTAAAACGTCACTTATCGCTATGTCGGTGATATTAGTTCTTCTACAGGTCTCTTCATTTCTACCGCGTAGAGAACCACCGAGCATAGCTCGCGCTAGCTGACAAAATCTCACAGCCATAAGTGATCATTGGTAAGAGACTTGAGATTAAGCACTGAGGGAGCGAAATCGCTGAAAAGCTTTTTGATTTGCTGATAGCTACCCCAGGCGGATTCTTCGACTGACCTCCTTCTCAAAGTTCTACCTAATTGTATTGAATGGCCTGAGTAAACGTATTCATATGGACAGGGGAAGACATTTGTTATATGCTAAATATATTTTCCTTTATATAAGAAGGTGCATGAGGTCGATTGATGGGCCTTGTCTCCACCATCGAACGACCTAATACTTATTTAGCATATAGAAAAATGTTCAAAGGCAATGTTCGAACAGATAATAATTACAAAGGAATATTTAAGAAACAGTGCTAAACACTACATAGCAGAAGTGCAGCATAGTAGAAGAAGAAGGGCAGTGTTGGACTCTCATCCCTGAGGTCAGAGTTTCGTCCCCGGATATGACTTTCTGTCTAACATTCTATTTCGAATGTTTAATAATTCGATCGAATGGTGAAGGAAAACATCGTGAGGAAACCGACGTCCCAAAAGGTCGAGAGCATGTGTCAGGCACAAGAAATTGATCACCTACTTGCCTATAAGACAAATAGTCATGAAACAGATACAGAAATCTGAGGCAAAGACCTAACAAAATTGTAGCGCCACTGGTAACATTCGTATAAGATTAAATCGCCTACACAATAAAAAGATTCTATTTTCAAAACCAGTATGCATTGTTTATTCATTAAGACATCGCTTTTTCATTGTCTCAGTTAAATCAATGTAATTATGTGTTGAGTTTTTGCATTGTAATTTATACTGCAAATCCCTTACGGCCGTGTTGCCTTTACAAAGTTACCGCACAATCGCTTCAGGCCACTAAATGCTACTACGATCATAAAATATAATGCTTTTTCTGATCTCGCTACATCTTAATCCATTCATGCGACTTTCAACTCTCGGTCACAGAAAATAAGGTTGTTTATTTCTTTATTTAAACACCGTCTACATTCAATTTGTTAGACTGAGTTTACACAGGACGAAGTGCAACGTAGGGATAAACATTAGGCTTTGTGCTGCTCATAGGAAAAGTAAATATTAGCCGTTCGTAGAAAAATGCGTTTTGAAAACACAAGCGTTGTGTACGGTATTCGTTATTAAAATTATGTTCGGGTATAGATGCCGCTTTTAAAATAGAGATGTTAGTAATTAGGCCGATATTGGAGCACAAAGCCGCTTAAAATTTTCCTACATTGGAATGCAACAAGGACGCAGTAGGTTTCAGTTGATGTTAACAGTTATATTGAATAGTTATTAATAAAAATATGATTAATTCAAAGAAATGTCATTTAATTATAATCTATGAGGGATACCTCATATCTTATCTGTAGTTTTATACACACTACATTTTGTCTAGGGTAGTCTGTGAACTGTCAAACGCAATATTTTTTTTTCTGTTCTTTTTTTTGTTCTTATTGATTCATACAAAAATAAAAGTAAATAAACAATACATCAATAATAAGCAAGAATTAAGCAAGGGTTTTTGCTTACTTTCATATATTATCGAATTTTTCAGTACATTTATAACGGATAATTATTGTTATCTATATAACATAAGGAGTCATTGTAGGGAGGGTAGTGCGTGCACCAACTGTAAACACAAGTTCCGTCTTACCGTTGTTATTAAAAATATATCCAGTGAATAATACAGTGCAAATATATTTCAAAAGTCATAAATTCGATACAAACTAAAGATTTAAAAAATTGTTTAATGCAGAAACTTCGAACAAATGCTTGAAATAACAAAATTAGCTGCGACGCATTGAAGAAGTGACTCAGCACGGACCAACCTGCAAATATTAACATTTTTTATGACATGTGATGTTGAGTGCAAAAAAGGAGTCAAAAGCTACTATTTATTGTGGAGTGGAACGTTAATTAATATATCTCACAGTGAAAGTGCATACGTGACTAATAACATTTATAATTATTAGTCATCACATTAAAAGTCACTACCAAACCAAAATATATATAGAAGAAATTCAACCACTTCGTCAAACCAGTAGCTGGCCGCCTCAGTACGACGACGACGCTTTATCAACGGATCCAAGATCAAATCTAGTTACTTCTTCTTGTTCAAGTTGTAGTGTACTTTTTTTTTTTTTTTTTTTTTTTTTTTTTAAATTTTTATTGTGTTTTATATTCTATTCGATGATAGTTGATGATAGTTCCGGCTCCGACTGTCTAGACGTAAATACATAGTGTAACGAAGCTCCGTATTTCTACGAATAAACTGTGAATATACTGTGAACTCCGGTGTAAAAACATTTAAATTTCATACATATTGTGATAAACTATACTGCAACTAAAACATCCAAGTGCAAACTGTGTTATCAAGATAATTGTTCAGTGGTTAAAAAGTGGAAAAAACTTTTGAGGCTACCTGCCAAACAAACCGAGTATAGACTATAGACACAATTTCAACAAAACTAAGGCGGGTCAGTACTACCAACATAATAGTCCTATTAAGCTGCGTTCACAATAATACGTTTCATTTCACGTAAGCGACAGCGGCAAAAATGGATAACCTTCAATCTTTTTTTTGAACAAATGAAAATAGAAATGTCAAAACAAACCGATGACATTATGGCACGGATTGATGAAAAACTAGTTCCTTTTAGACTTGAAATGCAGGAATTAAAATCAGAAAATGAGAAATTAAAGGAAAAAATAAACAATCTTGAAAAATTTAGAAGATACAACAACCTAATTTTATATGGAGTAAAAGAAACCGAAACATCGACTATCGACCTAATCGAAATAATCAAAAAGAAATTTGAACATGATTTAAACATTACTTTTGAAGATAGGGATGTGAACACGATCTATAGAATTGGCAAAAATAACACAAAAAACGGAAAAGAAAGGCCTATCCTCCTAACATTCGTGAACGCCTGGAAGAAAAACGAGATAGTGGTAAATAAAAAGAAATTGAAAAACTTGTATTTATCTGAAGACTACCCGAAAGAAATATTGGACATGAGAAGGAAACTACAACCAAAATTGGAAGAGGAAAGGAAGAAGGGCAATTATGCATACATAAACTACGACAAGCTAATTATTAAACAGGGCAAACCAGGTAACGAAAAACGCAAAAGGGAAACATCAACCTCGCCTAACGCAATAGAGCACCCTCACAAACAACAACTGTCAATAAAAGCAGCTCGGTTAAATGCATTCGACATAATGAGGAATAGAAGTAATTCCTTACCTTCTGCCAACGTGCCAACCGTTCAGAATCTATAGGATATTGCCATCAGCCACCGGAACAAAACATTAAACAGACGAGAACTAATAGATAAAAGAAACAAAACATTCCCCAATCCGACTTGTCATCGTGGGGAATCAGACTACAACCCTCCACCAAATAGAGAAATAGATCATGGTATGAAACGAACACTCAAAATCTGCAATTATAATGTAAAATCGCTAGGATCAATAGAACGATTCCTTGAATTGACTAATGCTCTAAAAAATATTAACTGGGACATTATAGGCCTTGCAGAAGTCCGAAAAATGGGATGTAAGATAGAAGAGCACAGCGACCTTATATTTTGCTATATTGGCGAAACTAAAGGACTATATGGAGTGGGATTCCTTATCAAGAAAATGTATAAAAATAACATCATCAACTTTATAGGAATCTCTGAAAGAGTAGCACTTCTACAAATGAAGTTTGATTGCTTCTCTTTTCAATAATCCAAGCATATGCACCGACAGAGAGATCAACAGAAGAAGAAATTGAAAATTTTTACAAAGACATTGAATTTGCTCACACAAAGACAGAAGGGAAGGTCATTGTCATGGGAGATTTCAACGCGAAAATAGGATGTCCAAAAACAAACTACTATCCAGTAATGGGAAAATATGGTTACGGAGTGCGGAATGATGGAGGGGAACGGCTCTTAATTTATGCTCATCAATACAAACTATCCATAATGAACTCATTTTTCAAAAAGAAAGCAAGCTCTAGATGGACATGGTTATCACCCGACCACAAAACTAAAAATGAAGTAGATTTTATTATGATAACCCACAACAAACTTATAACTAATATTGAGGTACTTAACAAAGTTGAATTCTCTTCCGATCATAGATTAGTGAGAGCAACATTACTTTTGAGTAGTCCAGTAAAGAGCAGAAAAACCTATACAACACCAGCTAATATCCCCAAGACAGAAACAGAAATAAAGTGCTACATCGGAAATCTACAAAAACATACAGAAAATATAAAAACAGACAGCATTGATATTCAAACATACTACAATATCCTGGAAAAAGGCATAACAGAGAGCTTAAAATACAAAACCAATATGTATCCCCACCAACACAATATCTTCTCAAAAGACACAATGGAACTTTTAAAAAGGCGCACGGAACTACTACACACAAAGAACAAAACTAAAGATATGAAAACAGAACTAAGCAGAATATACAAAGAGACTAATAGATCAATCCGTAAGGACTACAACAACCACAGATACGAGATTATTACAAGAAACATTAAACATTTTAGAAGTGCCAAAAAAGCATACAAAGAATTAACTACACACAAGTCCTGGATTCGAAAACTTGAAAATAACTCACTAAAAACAAAATCCAGAAAAGATGTAATAAATCACGCTACTAACTTCTACAAAAACTTATATAGTAAACAAAATAACCCCGAAATCATATCGCAAACAACCCATACGAACACGACAGATCACATCAGACAAATTGAATACTCCGAAGTTTATGATCATATGAAAAAGCTGAAAGCCGAGAAGAGTCCCGGACCAGACGGAATATGCAATGAGGCACTTAAAATAGGAGCACCCATTTTAACATATCATTTTACGCGATTGTTCAATAAGATACTAGATGAAGAAAAGGTACCAAAACAGTGGTGTACATCGGATATAATCCTTCTCTTCAAGAAAGGAAATCCCTTAGATATAGGGAATTACAGGCCCATAAGTCTGC